AATTATCAATTTTTATACAATTTTAGAATTTGTTCAAAAGGAGCGTTTTCAATTTTGTCGATCAATTTACATAAATTGTTTGTAATAATAATAAAAAACCTGTAATATGACCTACGGCAACGTTTAAAAAACGTTACCAAAAACTTACGGCAACGTTTAAAAAACGTAAAAACGTTGCCAAAGACCTACGACAACGTTTAAAAAACTTTGCCAAAAGTCATTGGCAACGTTTTTTAAACGTTGCAAAAACGAAATGGTAACGATATAAACGTTGCCATATCCTTATGGTCTATGGCAACACTGAAGCCCGCAACACATGCAAAAACGTTGCAAAAAGGTTTTAGCAACGTTTTTTAAATGTTGCAAAAGCTGAATTTTGTTGTAGTGTAGGTTGCTTACCGTATTTGCAGGCGTCTTATCGTATTTACATAAATTGTCGGATTTTACATCTCACCGGATTTAACACTTTGGTCGACTGAAGTATAAACCGGTCAACCGATCTGCTTGACCGAAGTGTCAACCGAAACTCCAACAGTTTGAATTTTACGAAGGCTAAGAGAGGTTAGCAGCCTTGAACTCATATAGAGATGTTAAGAATGTGATTAAGTATGGTAAGGACACCTTAATATCTGAAATTGTCATTGATTCTCTTAGAAGTAAAGAAATGGAGATTAAGACGATAAGAGATGATAAGATGAGTGGTGAGGTATATATGATGAACAGTGGGGTGAAATTTAAGAAAATGAATTGTGTAGGACTCAATATAGCAGTGGCTCGAGTGATGAGGATACTAAGAAGAAGTACAAGGGTCACGACAAGTCTGGTGGTCAACTATGGCAAGTCTGGACATTTTGTGAGGGATTGTCCCAAAAAGAAAATATGGGGAAGGGTAAGATGAGAGATTAGGCAAATGTGATTATAGGGTCGAGTGATGACACTAGTGAGGTTTATTAAGAGTTAACCTAGCTACTGCATGTGCATCTGTGTTTAATTCTTTTCTACATATGTGTGATTATTTAATTCAGTTGCATGGTTATATACTGCATTTCAATGTACATTTTCATGAATTTAAAAGCAGTTTGTTATTTGGTGTAATGTGTTCCATGTATAGTGGGTTGAGATGCATTATGAGTATGATGTGTGTCTTTAGTGATGTAAAGTATGATACCTAGGGTACATTGGTGGTTTGTACCGGGGGTCGTGGAGTGTGACATTTGGATCACGAATGGATGGGTGATTAAATGTTGAAATCCTTTATTTGTGAAGACGTTGATCAAGTGGAGTGTGAGAGACACACTTCTCTCACTTCTGTTAGATGAAGACCTATTATCTATCTAAGTTGGGAGAAGTAAGGTGGTGATAGAGGATTATCCCGAAAAATTAAGGTCCGTTTAATTGCAAATGTGAAATTTGGGTGAAAAGAAAATGTTTTACTGGGAATCGAATTGCCTAGAATTTGTTTTTCTGAGAATTGAAATTAATTATGTTTGATTAGTATAATTTTTCACATATAAAATGTCGAATGTTTTGTGTTCGTTTGGTTTTATTTTTCATGAAAATTGTCCATTAAAGTGATAATTTTTTACCATTGGGTACTAGCATTTGTTCCAATTGCTAAAAAAAAGATTAAAAAAAAATAATATCGAATACCATTTGTTTGGCTTTGTTTTACATGGAATTGTCAATAAAAGTGATAATTTTTTTTACCATTGTCTAGAATTTTTTCCAATTGCCAAAAATAAAAAAAGAACCTGGAAAATGAAAACTAACCATAACAACAAGAAATATTTTTCCTCCAAAAGAGGGAAAATAGGCGCGTGGGTAGGGCATGTGGAAAAAATTTTCCGGAGAAAATTTTTGCAATCAAATGGTGCAAATCTTGGAAAATGGAAAACATTTTCCAAGTTCCATGGAAATGTTACCCATCAAACAGGGCATTAGAATTTATTATAGATTACTAGTTAGACATGAGGTTTTAGTGAGCACGGTGGGCGATGGAATGAGATATGTGTTTTTGAGGTATGAACAACACAGAAGATGATAGGATAAGTGTGGTGAGATCTTTTTATGGGATCATTTATGCATTCATTTCATATGTGTCAGCCGTTTGATTGATTAACTAGGTGTTAGTCTATTGTTATGTGTGAATGTATTTGAAAAAATCTGTATGTTATCATATGTTATATTTTCATTGCATGTTTATTTGCTTTTGATTGATTATTGTAATTATCTACTTGTACTTGAGTTTTTGACCTTTGTCCCGGTGAGTATGTGTTTCGAGTCTGAAACACAATGTAAGGTCTGTGATCGCATTTTTATTGGTTACCTTGATTATGCAAGTATTAATTTTGCGTTTTGTTGTTTGCAGGTTGATTGTGTATCAAAGTGGAGATTTATTGGATTTTGATCACATTTGTTTGTTTTTTGGGTCCTCTCTTTGTGCTTATTCTATTGTTTTTCTTGTGCGTTTGTGGCTTGCAAATCAATGCCGTTGTCTTGTCATTTGTGAGTAAGATTGAGAAGCAATCGAGATAAATATATTGGTCGTGGGACGAAACCGTTTGGATTGGTTGTTTTATAGAAAAAGGTGACATGAAACTGAGCCTAAAAATCAATGTTTCGAAAATCATGGAGCGAGCTTTTGCGACAGTATAGTCATTTAGAAATCCGATGTAAATTACTTCATTGAAATTTATCGTCACAAACCATATACGATAATGTAAAATAATACTATTGCAACAGTAGTGCATCATTTTTTTTTTCCTTCTTGGGACAAAAGAAATTTATAATCCCTTTGATTCCATGAAGACAGAATTAATCCCACAAAACTTTAATAATAAAGCCAAGGCAACCTGGTGGTCCCAAGAATCTTGGCTTTCATTTTCCAACTCAGTTTTAACCTTACTAGGCTTCTCCCACAGTCCAACTTATGCTTACCATTTTGGTTCACAAGGGTTGCAGCCATTCAAGATTTCATTCCAAAAAAACGAAAGAAAGAAGAGGAAGTTATCGTTTAAAATTAAATTATGAATCCTTTAAAAGAACAAGATGAGAACCTAACTTTCAACATCATTGTTAAGGAAGACGCTGAATACTCCAAGGATTTGAACAGTACGGAAGAAGTGGGAGAAAATTTTAGGAGTGCTACAGAGGCTAATAAAGAAACGCACTATATTGGTGTTAGAAAACGGCCATGGGGAAAGTATGCAGCTGAGATAAGGGATTCCACAAGAAATGGAACAAGGGTTTGGCTTGGGACTTTTAACAGTGCGGAAGAAGCTGCTTTGGTTTATGATCAGGCTGCATTTGCGATGCGAGGAGCCTCAGCACCCATAAATTTTCCGATAGAAAAAGTAAAGGAATCTCTTAGAAACATGAATTACAGGTGCAAGGATGGTTCATCTCCAGCTGAAACCATAAAAGAGACTCACAGGACTCGGAATTCGTCGAAGAGCAAAGGCAAAAGGAAACAAATTAGCGAAGAAAATGTTTTGGTGCTTGAAGACTTGGGATCTGATCTATTAGACCAGCTATTATCTGAGAATTGATTCTGTAAGTAAACGTGAAATTTTCTGCATCTGTGAATCCATTTTTACCATTTTTCTGTAAATTTTCATTTCATTTCCAGTTAATTATTCTTGATCTTGGTCCTTCATCCGTTCTTGCTTGAACCCTATATATCTTGAATTATTTCCCTTTCGTCTTCCGTTTTGCATATATATACCATTCATGAATTTCGAACCATTCAAATCAACCTTACTGTCTTTGCATTCCAAATTAATTATTTTTTAAAATATGGAAATTTGTCATTCAGTTTAAATAGACTTCTGTTGTTAATTAAATTTGATCCGTTCCAAACTCCTGGCAATAAAAAATAAACATTATCAATTTCTTTTTCATTGCTGACTGCCGAAAAATTGTAAAAGTTTCTGTTTTCCATCTTTCATGAAAAGAATCTCACCAAAAGAAAAACGTGGTCTATTTGGCTCAATATGGTACTTAGCTAGTCATTGGCATGATGATTTTATCATACTCT